ATTAGCTTCTAAAAAAACATATTTTCTAATATCTTTTTAAAGCATACAAAATCGCGATTTTCATATGTATTCAGACTTTCAAAAATTCATTACTCGGATAATATTAACTACAAAAAAAGAATTAAGACCCTTTTTATCGAGATTAAATCAACATATATAAAAAAATTGTTTCGGTCAAAAAAAAATGTTTTTCACAATTTATTTAAACAATTGTGATTTAAATAATAGCCGACCGGGTTATCGGCTAACAACCTATATTGTTATATTCAGGAGAACCTTGCGAACAAAATTACTTTAAAAAAAATTAATCCAAATAATTTTTCCACTCACCCGCCCATATTTATTGGACTAATTAGTCTAACAAAATAACACTAATAAAAAAGAAAGAAATTAATGCTTTTATAGTTTATCACTTACTCGTCAAGGAAGTGAAATGCAAGGCATGTCCAACAATAGGAAGAGGAATCGGTCCAGGTATATTCTTAAGACACTTGTAAAACCGATAATTCTTTACGAACCAAAGGCACACAAGAAAAATTGAAAAAGAAAATACAAAAACGAGCCCAGAAGTTAACATCTTGAAGTCTTAATCACAAATAATACAAAAACTAATGTGCGCGTATCTATTGTACCTTAAAATTTATGTATGAGTTGTAATTATGTAACTATTACCGGAATTGGTCGACTACGAATTTGTTTAAATTGTTCGTCTTTCGGATGCGAAATAGCTTTAGAGGAGATGTAGATTTTGTATTGACAATTCATCGAACTTTTCCTTTTCAAAGTGATACTTTTCTTTTCTACACTTCCACAACGACAACTGGAGCAAGTCAAGGCTGAAGTATATTTTTTTCTTTAACAAACCGCATAAGTACAACAAAATAGCGTGAGTGATTGCAATATACGTAATTATCTATTCTGCAGAGATTGTTACCATTTTACTCTCCTCAATACCGATACTGGCGCGTTTAGTACTTTAGTCTAGGCAATATGGGCGGCTTAGTAAGAAAAATTATTCGGATTAATTTTTTTTTAAGCTATTTTTTCCTTAGATTTGGAGATGACATAGCAGTATTAGCATCTAGCAAGGAGGACCTAGAGATAGCTTTAAATAAAATGGAAGCGACACTGACAGACCAGTACTGTATGAAAATAAATAAAAGTAAAACTAAAATACTGGTATGCAAGGGAAGAAAAAGTAGGGAAAGAGCGAATATAAAGATAGGAGACAAAAATTAGAAGAAGTGGCTGATTTTAGATACCTAGGAAGTCAGATAAGTCAAGATGGAAGGAGTAGTAGGGATATAAAGCAGAGGGATAGCGCAGGGTCGT